GGGCTGTGGTGGCCCGGGGGCAATATGAAGACTTCGGTATCAGACTTGGAGTATTCGAGGACTCTTTGAAAAGAGAAACGGTATGTCCAAGAGCCGCCGAAGCTACTCTAAAAAATGAAGGTATGGACCCCCTAAATAACCTTTGGACCCCCTTAACTTTTGACAGGGGGGTCAGATCGACTTCCGGTTTGCGCCAAAAATTGTCTTTTTTCATGCTCTTTCTAACGATGCATCACATGATGGGGGTTGCCATTTGAAATTTTTGAGTTGCCCCCCGCCCCCCTCCCCCTTGTGACGGTAATTTTCCCGTCACTTAAGTTTCGAATAAGTAATCACCTAGGAAATTTTGTTTAGTTTTAAACAGTGCCCAGATTTAATCATATGTTAAGTAATAACTGAAGTGTTTAAAAATAGTAGTTAGCATCCACAGAGAATTGAACTCTTATATAAATTAAATCTATTCACAACTAGTTAAGTAATAAGAGGTCGGTCACGAACCAGAACGGGGAATTTCGTTCCCGAAACCGGGCTGGACCACTGGCTGAACTGAAAGGAATCGACAAATGGCATTGAACCACTACCGGTTTTTTTCTAAATTCAAACAATTAAAGCTAAAATTTTGAAAGTTATTTGCCGGTGCTGACTTATTCGAGCAATGAAACCCTATTAAAAGTGGTAGAAATGATATCCTCATATCTTCAAGCATGATCCATTGTAGGTTTCATTAGAATCTGCGGCCGTGTAAGTAAGAAATCTGTTGTGAAAGGTGATCGTGTCGGGTGTGTTTCGAAATTTCAAACTTTCCCGCTACTAAAAGGCCCATGTTTCAAAAAATATTTGTCGTTTTGGGCCTTTAAGTGCTTATACATTTTTGAAAACTCAATGGATCTTGATGAAAGTCTCCCACTTTGTAGGCCCAATTTAGGTGCGTCAGTAGACACCAAGATCGTTGGAATCCGTGCCGTCGTTTGGGCTGCAGTCGTGTTCAAACCGAATCAATTTTCAGAATAAGAGAGTTACGTGTGTCCATGGTTGGCTGCCACCTTTTTCCTTAGGACGCTTTCCAGTGTTGTCGAGTTTAGACTTTGTCCGGAGGTGGCTACCGCTACCCATGATTATGTCGATCTGGTATGCTCCGATCGGGTACGAGTTTGTCGGAGTAAACAACAGTATGTTTGTTTCTCCGATGTTCGGGATGGAGTAGTGAGTTCCGAAACTGATGCGATCGATCTCGCAAGGACCGTACAACTTCAGCACTCCAGAGGTTGCCGGTTGTGGTAGAGCAAACTCGAACACGTTGCTTCACCCAGATTATGAAATTCGACGCTGCCGGGTTGACCCTAATACTTAATTTTTTTACACCACCAAGCAACGCTGTAAAATAAGGTGTTGCCAACTGGAAAAAATTTAAATATTAATTTTCTACACAATCCTGCAACAGCTGGGCTCAAATTCCCATTTTCACCCTTCTACTGCAACGCGTAAAAATGTTCGAACTACTGGCTGTCTACCTGTCGCATACACTTTGCTTCTTTAACTCACTTTGCTTCTTTAACTTCTTCTCTTCTTTAACTTCTTCATTACTCTAAATAAATTTACTTTTTCTTTTTAGGTTGATAGCAATCACCATGAGAAGCTTAAATTACCAATTTCAATGTGCGATTTTGCCATGATGGTTGAAGATAAGAAAGTATTCGTCGACAAGACTGACTGGATCGCGGAGGCATTACGTGGACCGATCATGAAGCTCATCACGAGACCTCGGCGTTTCGGGAAGACCACCAATTTATCGATGCTAAAATTATTTCTTCAAAAGGATCCAATGGTAGAAGAGAAAAAATTATTTGCGGGTTTAAACATTCTTGTAAACCATAGTTACGCGGAGATAGTAAAAAATCACCAACACAAGTACGCGGTTTTTGAATTTTCTATACTGCATTTATGTCAGGGACGGGATCCAACGTCTTTCAGGGACGAGTTAAATGAACATATGCATTTCTGGTTAAATGAGTATACTATATTTTACAAACAGTATTTAACTTCTGCTGATATAGATTATATAAATGTCCGATTTCTCGGAAATTCGAACGCAACAATTTCAAGACTTCTCCGGGGATATTTTTATGTCATACGTAGATTAAGAGATGCAGGATTTAAAATTGCAATCCTAATGGATGAATATGACGCCCCTTTTAATACAGCGATTGAAGACGACTTGGGAACATTCACCGGGGAGGACAGTTTTAGAACGAAACATTATGAGATGAGTGCAAGGTACGTAGAAAATAAAGCTCTGATGAGACAATTGATCCTTTTTTTCTGCAAAGAAGGCGTTAATCCCCATCCTCACCTCGTCATTTTTACTGGCATCACTTATACGTCAAAAAACAGTATATTTTCTGATATGTCCAATTTTAAAGCGTATACTGTTTTTGACGATGATACTTTCGGCCCATATTTCGGTTTTAAGAAGGACGAAATAAATTATTTAATTGAAAAAATGGATTCAAATTTGAAGATAAAAGGATTTGAAGAATGGTACGATGGGTATCATTTCGGTAATGTCGTAATCTTTAACCCGTATTCCGTGGCTTTGACAATTGACTCGAAGAAATTCGATACTTATTGGGGAAATTCAGGATCATTAGAAATCGTCCAAAAACTAATTTCGTTTTCAGGAGATTTTGGTTTTCTGGAAGTATATTTCCTGGTTTCTGGAATTTCGTTGGAAAAAAGAATGTATCCTAATTTAACATATAAAAAATTGTTCTCGAGCAAAGAGACTTACTGGACTCTTTTGACGAGTGCCGGTTATCTGGATGCTTCGAGAATAAATGAAACTGACATTTACAGGTTGGTCATCCCCAATAAGGAAGTCAAAGCATTTCTTCAGAGTCGTTTTCAGGGAGAACTGAATGATGCTAAGAAACAATACAATACATTCTTGGACGCTATAAATAAATTAGAAAGTGAAAGAACCGAAAGTCTGAAGAATTATTTTGAGAAGCACTTTAACGACCACACTTCTTTGTATCATGAAAATGTGAATTTAACAGCAGTATCGTTGGGAAATGAATTTAAATTGCTATTTGACGGTATTGAGCGAAAAAAAATGTTTTCAAACACAACACAGACAAATGAATTTATCGTATACCAGCTTATCGTTGGGAAAGGTGACACTGTGTATACGTTTCATATTGCTAAGATAAACGACACGTCTGCTGAAGAAGCCACAACTAAGCAGCTATTGGCTCTGCCTCCCCCGATAGGGAGCTCATTTCACTTTAAGAAGGGAGCATATTCAAAAATTGTTCATACAGCGATTGTGTTCTTGGTAAAAACTGGGGAAAAATCCCTCTCGGCATTCATAAAAGCGCAACTTCAGGAATATTTTGAGTCCTATTTTCACCACCACAGGTGAATAGCACTATCGGACGCATTTTTTCTAATAAAAAATTCAGACAAAAAATCAACTTAAATCGACAGTAAGGCCGCAAATAATAAAATGAACACATAAAATAAAATAAAAAGCCCGGGACGTTTCGCAGGGATCACACCCGCATTTTCAACCGGCAAAACAAAAAAAATTAAAAAGAAAGACACTTTGAACCTCACCGCTGTTATTGTGAGAGTGATAGTGCAGTGCAACCAGCGGATTGTAAGGCTTTCGGACCATCAATTTTTACCTGAGACTGTCAAGACGGGTAAAAAACTTTTAGTTGAAAATTGTTATCCTTCTCCCTTCATTGAAAAGGTATTTAAAACAGCAATAAGCAAAAAAGAAAATAAAGAGCATAGTGTGAAGCTTAAAAGGAAAATCGAGTTGAACAAATTAATTTCGTTACCATATGTGCCATATTTTTCGGAAAATGTATCCGAAAGGACCCCGCACACCTCTTATGGAAAGCTGCACCAAGACCGATTGCCTTCTGACTTATATCATTGGATTCTCCTCAAGATGCTGATCAAAAGTTATAATTGCGCCAACTTTCTACGATGCACCGTTTTCGCAAAAAATCCAAGTGAAGATTCAATTATTCGGTGACTATGAATAAAATAGAACAAAGCATTTGAGAACGGGCTCGATGTAAATAAGGAAAAAACGTACCCAGCGCGTGTCCGTCTTCTTATCTGTACCTGCCGACTCTAGGGCTATCCCCCTCCTCCCGCTCTCGATGCGTCCGCTTGACGCTCATTTTCCTGTTCATATGTTCCCCACGAAATTGGCGGTGTTACCAATTTATTTTTTTAAAACCATCTTTAATGAATGTGTTTATGCTAAAGTGAACTACTTACATGCATAGCTAAATACGTCCAAATAATGTACTTCAGTTAGTATGCATAAACCAGCTTTTGGCAAAGACAGTAAGTTGTATTAAAAGACGCGACACACTTTTTTTGTGTTATATGTATAACCCCCC